AAAGTGAGCAAAACGTGAGGGTTTTGTGCCAGTTTCAAAAACGATGGCAGGCGTGGGAGATGTGAAGAGGATCTGGAAAGATGCATGTCGCGTGGCAGGCGCAGTACAAGAGACATGTTCATCAGAGATGTTAGGAGGTCAGGGTGCTGATTTCCTGAGAGGGTTGCATTTTGCAGCATCAGATCTTCAGGTTTGCTAAGATGATTTTGCGTGACAAGCGCAGCACTTCGCATGACCTGGCATCACTTTTTCGTGGCAGGCGCAATACTTTAGACAGATGGAGCGGAACCGTTGCAAAATTCATTGGTTACGAGGCCGTCAGCTCTGCTGTCATCTTTCTATTTTTGAAGGAAGTCTCGCAGAACTGCTTCGTTTTTGATGTTGTCAACTTGAAAAATTGAGGAAGCCTCGCAGAATAGCTTTGTTTTTGGTGTTGTCAAGTTCAAAAGTTGAGGAAGCCTCGCAGAATAGCGTCGTTTTCAAGCTTGCAGATAGACACGACAGTACACAACACCACAGTACACCACACTACACCACACTGCACGAATTACACTATACTGATTGCACCACACCACAACAACAGCAGCAGCAACAACTGCAACTGCAACTGCGACTGCAACTACACTACAATAATTATACTACACGACAACTACAATTCCACTACACTACAGCTACAACTACAAGTGCGCTACACCACACTACATCCAGCAGACCACTGCAACCATTGCGCCATTGCAACCACTCACCCCCCCAAAAAATACAACTCCAATCACCTTTCGGTCCATCAGCGGATTCGCTCTGCCATCCATGCATCACAACAACTCACCTCTCCTATAGTGTCCTATCTTTGAAACTTCCGCCACCGCCTTGTGCGGTACTACTGGGATAAGAGAAGAAGAAGAAGAAGAAAAAGAAGAAGAAGAGACGAAGACAGAGCCGTAGACCAGAAGCAGCTTGAGTAGAAAGTGCTTACTTTAACAACCTATTGACCGCATACCAAATGAGCACTGGTCGGTCAGTTAGTACCGTGTGTCCTGTGACCGTGGTGCTGTACACAGTTTCGCTAGGTACCGGCACTACCGGTTTAGTACTGGGGAAGAAGGTAGGAGCAGGAATAGGAGTAGGAGTCGGAGTCGGAGTCGGCGGGGTGAGGGGGCGAGGGGGCTTGGACACGATTCAGACGAAGCAAGAACGCGTAGCAAGAGAAAGGCACAAGTACAAACTAGAAACAGAAGCAGGAATAACACCTTCTAATCAGACACGCTGGCAGGCCGGTGGATTTTATCGCCTTCACTTCGTCTCCTATCATCTTGTTCTTCAGAAGCACGTGCCAACGAAAGTCACGAACATGCATTCAACATGTGGGGGAAAGCAAATATTTGCAAGACAAACAACTTACACAAAAGGGAATCTCAAACTTAACTTTGCATGTGCAGCTCATGAATTGCTAAACACATTTTTACGGTAAATCTGAGAGGCGAGATGCACAGAAGAAAAAACATGACCGTATGAAAACATGGGATAAATCAATAAACTACCAAGGTAACATTGCCAAAGAGGAAGGCAATGCTGAAGTTCTTTGCACCGAAGTCGATCCCCTCCTTCCTCCTGCCACTGCTTCTATTGAAACCATCGCGTGGTTTATCTTCAATCCGCAGTGCCAGCCACAAGGCTTCCGTCTCTGGCAACAACATTTCATATCCCTGGTCTCTTCTCATAATTTACATCCGCGGGCTCGCTTTAAAAGGATTGAATACGGCGGCATTCCTATTCCTTCTCATTCCTTATGAACTTTTGCCTGACCAGTCACTGTCTTGACTCTGTTGGTCATAGTGCAGTTGTTTCTTTCAGCCACATCTTTCTTAACCAACCTTTTCTATTTCCGGAAAACCTTTCTAGCCGCTGTCTCCCCCACTCCATGGCTAAGCGACTGATTGTGCAAAGTGTGCAGATGACACAATTCTCGCCTCGCGAGCTCAAGCTACCATGCGCCAGTTGAATATCTCCTGCAGCTACTCATGATGCTAAGAAATATCCTTTTCCAGCGACGAAGAAAGGCCAGGTGACCCCAGTCCATCCCAGTCTGTAGATTCCAAGCTCCTGTTACAAGGTGTTTAGGGGAGTTTAGGGGGCCTTCTAGCTCCGTAGCTAGGATTGAGCTGGCGGAGAACAAGGATACTGAGCAGCTGACGGTTTTCAATTCGAAGTATGTGGTTCCAGGGCCCAAGAACATGATGCTGCACCTGAAGGCCCAAGTGTTCTCATTCAGTGGCGACACCTACAAAATCAAGGATTCCAACAACGAGAACACGGTGGGGGCCCTCTGGGGGGGGGTACTGCGCTTTTTGGTAACGGAGGGAAGTGCCATGTGACTTACTAGTAGAGTAATAAACAGTCTCAAAGAGCAGTTGGCAGATAGGATGCATCAGTATGCATCAGGATGCTCGGGTTCGTCGATGCCCGTTGATGTCCGTTCACTTTCGTCGCCTGAGGTGGTGTTTCAATGCCAGGGCAAGTTCTTAAGCTTCGAGCACAAGCGTGTGATTTGCGATGCGGATGGCATGCCTATCTTTGTGATCACAGAACCCTTGATGCAGATCGATGACAAGCAGGTGGTGCATCGCGTCACTCCGGAGGGCAAACCCAGTGAGGAGTTGTTCCGCGTGGGCTCCAACTTCGGGAATACCGCTCAGTACACGCAGAACCTGAAGAACACAAAGGGACATGCCATCACACTCAACGGGAAGATGACTCTTGTGAGCATGAAGGGTGGCATTTGGTTGGGGCCTGCAGGCAAAGGCAGGCCGCTCCAGAATTGCATCATATTGCATCCTTGTCTAGGTAATTTTATGTAATTTTCCTTTTAAAAACGCCACTTCTCTAATTGCAGTGAGTACAATCACTTAGGATTCACTTAGGATCTGACATGATATGACCAATTTCGCTGTGGTGGTATCGCAGCATGGGTTTGCCCTTCCATGTTGTGGTTGTCATGATGTGCATGGGTACAGACACCGTTGATGATCGTGGATGCAGTTGTTCCAGTTTCCGCTGATGCCATGACATGAATGATAGTGATATGTTGACAGTCAAAGGTGTTGCCACCAAGAATCTCCCGAGTACAGCCTAGAGCGACCAGTGCTTACATTGTTGGGGTGTGGAGTGTAGAGACTATTTCTGACCCATGCCCAGCTCATTGTTGGTTGGATGACTGTCACTGTTGATGAAGACATTTTAAGAATTATAAGAATTGCTTTCAATATTTTCCACACCTTTCCCACTTTTTCTGACCTTCTGACAGGTCAAGCAGTCGCGAAAGTGTGCAGTCCTGTCACCTACAAGGACGAAGCGGAACTGCCATTTGCCTTGGGTTGAAATTGAAGAGAAGTGCGACGGGTCAAAGCGGATTGGGCCCCAGTGGATGGTGAAACCATGTTTGAAACCTGCTCATTGAAATGGCAAACGTATAAAATCTTACAAATACCATGTTGGTCCTAGACCAATCGTTAATCAGAACGGAACAAGTCAGCAATTAGGCAATTAGGACATGGAATAGGATTACAACTAACAAACTGGTTGGCTGGTACAGCACGCCAGTGACTCCAAATACTGTAGACATGCTTGAAGACTTTCGGACCCTTCGTCTATAGCATTCTTGTATGTTGTGGGATAGTTGGACTTTGGAACATAGATTGGCCGGACAATATGAACAATATTCCTACCTGGCAGGGCCAAGGCTATGTTTCAAGCCTGCTCATTGAAATGGCAAACTTTCCGACATGTTTCCTTTACTTGAGCCTCCCACGTGAGGGGTTTATTTGATTCTTTCAACATATTGTAGCTCAAATATACTCAAATCACTCCCTGATCAAACGTCTATGACGATTATTATGGCTGACGCTGACAATGGGGTTGAAAGGTTCCCTCACTGCAGGACTTCCTTCCCGATGACTTCGACCGAAATGATTACATCGTGGAGATCCCCCCAGGTGTTGACTCCGCACTGATCCTTGCTATGGTGTTGGCATATGAGAAGATGGAGCAAACCTACGACTGCTGATTCTGCACTAGTTACTAGTGAGACGCCGGAAATTTCAGAGACTGGAAGGGAGTGCAGAGCTACTCTGTTAATGTGCAGAAGTGGATGCACTTTCAAGATCTTTCAAGAAGATCATGCACAGTTGCACATGGATATTGACCACTTGGATCCCTTTGGCATGTAACAAGTCCTTGAATGGCTTTGCATTTTCCAGAGGAAAACCTTGTCAAGGATAGGTTTGATGTGTGAGGTCACTTTCTATGAGCTGCAGCGTTCCAATCGCACATGCTAGTCTGCTAGTGCCAAAGTGCCAGAATGCTAGCTGCTAGCTGGACTGCAGAGACTGAGGTCAAAAATGGTTGGATAGTTCCACAAGGGTGAGGACGATACATACGAGTTCAAACCGACACGGGCATTGCTTCCTTGAGAATATTGAGATACCGTTGAACAGTACCATTTTAAAGCTGCTCGAACCCCCAAGCACTCTAGGCAAGTTGAGAGAACGGTGCAACCAAACTGCACTGCTTGTTGGATTTGTTGCCTGTACCGTTGTATCCTGGGCTTTGCGCTTCTTGAGGCTTCCATGTGTGCCGCCTCGCCGCCCGCCTCGGAATTTAGACTGCTCGGTTGATGATTGAAGGGTTGCAATATAGTGTGTGTGAGCAGGGATTGGTTTGGATGCACATGGAAGGGTAGCAACAGTCAGCAGTGCCTATCCTTTCAAATTTGATGAGCCAAGGAATTCAACAGTCTTGGACACTGATTGGCCATGGCGCAAAAGGGAGAAAAGAGCTGGTGGACATGACTGCCAATCATTGGGTGGACCTGTCAGAGCGTGTGCCATGCCGTACGCGCCTAATAATTATCAAGGAAGCAAGTGTGTTTCAGCTAAATTGTTTCAAAATTCATGATATTCATGATTTTGCATGTGGACCTAGCCCTAACTCCAACCTTTCTGGAGGCCATTTGCAGGGCCGCGCCAGATTCAGCCCCAAGTGGCTGCGCAGGTGCCGCAATGAGCATGATTGCCAATATGACTTATATAAATACTGCCCAAACATTTCACGTCGGCCTTGTAGCCCGCAACTTGCACACCCCTATGTTTGAGAGCGAGCTGAGGAAGCAGAGTGTTGTCATCAACTCAGGAAGAGCTTGTGATGAAAGTTCTGTTGTACTGGAGCACCTGTGCGACTGGTTTTATCAACAGTTTTCTGGGCCGTTGATGGATCCTTGGACATCAATATCTTGGAAGATCTTCAATAAAAAGACTCCATACCCATCCATACTCATCCGTACCCATACATGATAATTACGGTGCCAATCTCCAGCTGCTTTTCTGTTGTCTCTGGCCATGGCCGAGGCGACATGTCCCAGGTCCACCACCTCGAGGAGCAGAACATGGCGTTGCAAACGGAGGTGGAGGAGACGGAAGTGGCAACATGGAAATGGTTGGAGACGGTTGATGAAATGGATGGTGTGGATGGCGTGGATGATGTGGATGATGTGGATGATGTGGATGATGTGCATGATGTGGATGATGTGGATGATGTCGATGATGTTATTATTTGGATTCCTTCGGTATTTCTAGATTCCAAGGGCAGTTGTGACAGCTACAGCTAGGTGCTAGTATGTATAATATATATATATGTATATATATATATGTATAATATTTCTCCACCCTCCAGGTCCTTAGAGAGGAGTTGGTGAGAGGGAATCTCAACCACGCAAGTCTAGAATCTAAAATTTGTAAAGGCCGCCCCTATCGCTCCTACATTGGAAAGAATGTGCGCAGGAGCGGGAGCACGCCAAAAATACGGTGCCAAACGAGTTGCGAATTCAGTGTCCAATCGACCATAGGTTTCATACATGGCTCAAGCCCAGCCCCCTTTCCCCATCTTTGTTGAAGAGCAGCGATGCACAGGGCCCTCTCATTAGTGTGGGTGGCATGGCTTCTGTCTGCTTCGGGGCAGAAACCGGCATTGTCACTTTTGGCTCACAAGAGCCAACTGCATAAGGCTATCAATACAGCTGCCGACTTGTTTGCCCAGTTTCCCACAGACGTGAGGTTTCCCGACTATGAATCACCATGGTGCCCGTGCGAGGGATACCCAGAGTACTGTGACCTGCTGCAGGTGGAAAGTGAAAGGCGGCTCAGCATGCTCAGCCGATCAGTGGGTCACAATTACAACCAAACCCATCAGTGCCATGAGGATCATGAGGAAAGCTGTGGGAGAACTACCCTGCAAGTGCTGATTCTTGCATTGGAGCTGCTGGCGGCTACCCATGTTTGAATCAAGCAGGGAATTGCTTGTATTCAGCAGCCACAACTGTGAATACCACAGATGGTTGTGGATCCCGTGAATGCTTCTGCGCCAATGTCCCTCCTGGTCAATGCACTCAAGCAAACTTTCCAGGTTACACCATCGTCCAGAATGGCGCGTACAATGTAACAACAGGCAGGATTTGGTATATACCCGGTTGGAAACGGGTCGACCTTTGCATATCCACCGGACCACCGCGGATGGGAACCAGTCGGTGGTCCTGGAAACCATGCCTGCCGTGGTGACAACAGTTCAGACAACGACCCAAAGCATTACCAAGTCCACACCGGGATTCATTCGCTCTGGGGCTGCAAGGACTTGTGTGAGCGCACAGATTCCTGTAAGGGCATCGAATACAGTGCAGGCCGCTGTGAGATTTGGATGAGATCTCGCGGCATTTTCGCCTTCAAGGAGATCCCCTTGGAGACCGCAGAGCTCACCTGCCTTCGCTACGGGTGGCCCACCAGCAAGCTGGTTCCGGTGGGTCCCAGAGGCACATCTCATCCATGCCGTGGCCGATCGAGTAGCGACAACCACCCAAGAAACTATTACGCCATCAGTGATGTCACAGATATTGAGGAGTGTAAGGCCATTTGTGCGGCATGGACGGGGCTGCCTCGCGACGAGTGGGGCTGTGGGCCCAAACGCAGTGGAATCGAATGGTCCTATGGCCGCTGTGAGTTGTGGAAGGTAGAGATCGGGTCTGTCAATCCCAACGTTGATGGCTTTACATGTCTCAAGTTCGACATGATTGCCTAGAGAGGACAAGATCCAGTGCCAATATTCAGAGGGGAGGGCTGTGGATGGGGCCTTTGACCTTGGAATCCGGGTGGGTACCAAACTTCGGTGCAGCTGTGCCTAGACTACAGTTTCAACATAAGGGGCAGGGCTGCACCTCATACCAAGCCGCAGTCTCATGTGCCACCAGTGCCATGAGGTCCCTTTTGGTCGCGCATGGTGCTGAGCAAAGACACAAAACACAACATTTACAAAAGTGTGGGTGTGGGAGTGGCAATCAAACAAATGGACAGCCCGTTTATTTGATTTGGATTGATTTGGCAATATCCCGGTTTCGGGTTTGCTTGAAGAATTTGATTGCCAAATCACGTGTCAATTTGTTTGGTAAGTTATTCTTTCCAGTTGCTTTCTTGTTTGAGGGATAATTGGTGAAGTTGCTGAAAGGGAACTTGAAGGTTGGGTCATGATTCAAACCAGTCCAGGATTCTTATCGAGATATTTTGTGTAGGGGGCCGTCTGGAATCTAGTTGCAACCCATTGCAAAAAGGACAACTTGACCACTGATTTTATTTCAGCTGTTTTGGGATGTTGGTGTTCCTGCAGCCAAGAAAGATTTCCCTCGGAACGACAGGGTGTGATGGAGCTGACAGGTGCAACATCGCCCATAAAACAGTTGGGACAAGCTAGATGATGTAAAGGTGTTCAGGTGTGTTAAGTGTGTGTTCATGAATATTTCTGCGGAGATGATTAAGAGATTTGGTGAGCTTTGCTCAACAATGATTCGCGCGTAGATTTTTTTGCGTGGGACATTCCTTGCCATTTTCACTGGAACTCTGTTCACGCCCTGCTCACGCTGCAGCGGCCGTGCCCGGGATGCTTCCAGGAGTTGCGACACAGCATGGAGATGGCAGAAGCACACCTTGAAGGCACAGGAAACAGTAGCGGTTGTAAGGAATTGTTTTCAGCCCCTCTTGCACTTCCAGAAGGGCTCTGAAAAAGGCTTGCAGAGTCAAGGTGAAATTGAGTGGTGAAAACTAAACTTCGCATACTTCGCATGACGCAGAGGCCATCCTACTCCACAGCTGGAGGCCGGCGACTTGTGGCCTCCTCGTATGTTCTTGGATTTTTCTTGCAGCTTGTAGGTGAAGAGCCAAAGGCAAAAAATATAGTTTTTTAAAACTTTATTTTTGGGCCGAATGTCTCCCAGGCAATGAAAACCATAGTTCAAGCATGGGCAAGCAAGACTTTCATGTGGTTCAAGCATGATTTTGTGAGGAATCTACTGTGCTGGTATCAGTTAATCGCATTTAACCGCTATGCTGTGCCACTTGATGCGCTACAAAGGTGGCCCTGCACGAGTCTAGGGCCCACCTGCGGATGTCTTTGCAAGCCTGCCATGCATTCCGACAAGAGCACCTTCAAGCCATTTTGGTCAGCATTTGTGGAGCACAGTTGTGCATCAGGCATCATCAGGCCATGAACAAAGTGGAAGTTAGTTGCGGGGAAAATGCCATGGAATTGGGCATGTAGCCTCTCAAGTTTTTCTCTTGTGAATTGTCTGTTTGGAGACCAAAGACGTTGCAGATTAGTTGCCCTACCGAAAACGGCCAGGCAGCAACAACTCCAAAGCTCCCAGCAGACATTGCAGTGACACACTGAGCTTCAAATGGCGGAACTAGGCTCAGCATCGGTTGAAACCGCAGTGAATTCTGCAAGGTCGTTGCGCGTTGGGATCTTGGAGGCTTGCATTCTGGTTCGGGTGGGATGAGGAGGAAAAAATAGACCTGGCACCTGAACATCGAAATTCTATGAAATTCTTGTAATGCTTGCGATTTGGAAGTAGGATTGGCCCCGGAGGCATTAGATTCAGCCAGATTCCAAACCATTCTGGACTTAGTGTTCAAAGCTTTCACGTTTTCCAACTCGGCAAAGGCAGAAGAGCAGTTTGAGGCCGAGCACGAGAAGAGACGGGAATCTCAGAAAAGCTTTGCAGCCACGAACAGGGGAGACCAGTTGAGACCATCACAGTGAGATGATCATCCCAGTGAGCTGGTAGCCATGGCTACAGGATCCACCCATTAAAGGTGAAGCCATGGACAACACACCCACACTAAGGATCCAATGCGGAACGACAATTGACAGCCTTGCGATCGGAAAAGAAGTGACATCGGGAGTATATACACTGTATACCTGCTGGTGTTCACCTCTCCATGCTAGCCAGGGTAACATACACAAACTATGAAAACTTCATCGCTTGATTATTGATAAGATTGCCTTGTGAAAACCGGGAGCGCCCAGACTACGCTGAGGGTCGGGGACATTAGGCGTTGCATACATCTATCTACTAGAATAGGGAGGTCTCGATGACAGGTCTGTGTGAGTTGCGCGTTTGTTTGATCCAGTGACAATGGGTTGATTGACTGAATGGCCGCCTGCTTGATTGATACAGTAAATTGATTGATTAAAGAACTGCCGACTGACAGTCAGGTTGTTGCGTTGTTGATTGGTCGATTGATGGATTTGTTCATAGTCTTGTCGTAGGGAAGCCTCTGAATGAATGACGGGTTGTTTCAGTGAGTGACCTTTGAGCGCGTGGATATACTATTTATATAATGCACGTGTGAAACTGTGTACATGTGTATATGCATAGATAGATGAACGCAAGTAGCGCAAGTATGTAGTAGCTGGGCCAGTGCTGCTAGGCGTGGTGGAGTAAGCGTGGGATCAAAACGGCTGATTCTTTGTGTGAGCCTGACTGAATACATACATGGAACACTGGACGCAAGCATCAAAATGAGAGAATAACAACTGAATCATATTTGCTTTATCCTCTTACTTTTAGTACTTCGCCAACTACAATAACAACAAATAATTCTACAAACTCAAATCAAAAACCATTATATATATATACACAATATATATATGTATATTTATTTATTTAGATGAAATATTTAAAAAAACAAGATGCAGCCCACGAACCCGAATGCTCACACGTATGATAATGGTGAGGATTCCGAAACGCGTAGAGAGGGAAACATCAAAGACGTGAAAGAATGTAAAGTGTGGGGGAAAAGTATAGAGTGTGAATGAGTGTGAAGTGCAACGTGTAAAGTGTAAAGTGTGAAGTGTGGAATGTAAA